AGGCGCCGGGTCCGCTCCCTGGCCCCGGCCGCTGGACAGCTCCAGCCTGGAGCGCGGGCCCCGGGGCCAGTGGGTGCGGAGGGGCCGTGCCGGGTCAGCAGCTGGCCGGGCAGGGAGCGGAGCGAGCTGGAGGAAGCCGGGGACCGGCGCTCCGGGGACTCCCGCGGGGCTGCGCCGCGTCCTGCCCCGGCTCCGGCCGCTCGCCGGCGGCTTGTGTCGGGGGCTCAAAGTTTCCGGGTTTGCCCCGCTGCGCCAGGCTGGGTCCGCCTGGGGGGCTCCGGCCGCTGTCTCCGGGGCCCCCTGCCGCCCGTGTCGCTCCGGGGGCCCCCGGGTGACATGCCGGGGGCTGTGCAGAGCCGGGGTCGGCTGGGGGCAGGCCCCCTCCAGCTCTCCTCCGCCAAGCGCTGGCGGCCGGCTCCCTTCGCCCCGTGGCGCACTGGGGCGGCGCCTCCCCCCGGCCCGCGCTCCTGCAGGAGCCTGTTGGTGGGTGTGGAGCTGGGCCCCGCGGGGCCGGGCCGAGCTGTCCCTGCCGGGGGACAGGCCGTGCTCTGGGGGTGTTCCCTGGCGGGCGCCTGGCTCGGGGCACTGCCCCGGAGAGCGCCGCTTAGACAGGAACGCGCCCGGGAACTAGGCTGGTCTCAGGGGCAGCTTCCCTGCGGGACAGGTCTCGGCTCCCTGCACTTACCCTGGAGGCCTTTCCAGAGCGGGCCCTGCCCCCACCCCCGTACACTTCTATTCCACCCACTCTCGGGGGCTAGCGACAGAGCCGGCTGCGGGGTGCTACGGAGCTGGGGGGAGTGGAGAGGTCCCCCACCCCCTGCCATCCCAGGGGGCGCAGAGAGAGGCGGGGTCCCTCCCTGGCTTGCACACTGCGCCCAGGCCTCGGCAGCCTGGAGGGGGGTGTCAGCCCCGGTCTCTGCATTCAGGCTGGATCTGGGACTCCCACTGGGGCCTGAGGGAGCCAAGTGCCCAGCTGCCTTGGGCGTCCGCGGTGTGATTTCCCTCCCTGCCGGGGGCGCTGGACCTGCCGCACACGCTCCTGAGTGGCGGAGGGGGCACACGCCGAGGCCGGCAGGGACCGCTGGGGTCAGCTAGTCTGGCCGAGCCCTGCCCCCACATACCTCCTAGAGCTCGGCTTGTAGCAAAACATCCCATCGTGACTTTAAAATGACCAGTGATGGAGAATCCCCCAGACCCCTGGGGAATGTCCCACTGGCTAATTACTCTCACCAGGAACAACGGGCACCCTCTTATTTCCAGCCTGGATTTATCTAGTTCAGCTTCTAGCCCTTGGCTCAGGCCGTATCTGTCTCTGCTAGACTGAAGAGCCCGTTATCAAATAGTTGTTCCCCGTGTTGGTCATCCAGTCACCCCTTCACCTCCTCTTTGTTAAGCCAAATCAATAACGTTCCTTGAGTCTATCGCCCTTGGGCAGGTTTTCTAATCCTTTGACATTCTTGGAGATCGTCCCTGAGCCCTTCCATTTATCACCGTCCTTGAATTGTGGGCACCAGAACTGGACAGGGGATTCCAGCAGCGGTCGCACCAATCCAGAGGGGAAATAACCTCTCTGCTCCTACTCACACGTCCCTTGCTCATGCATCCCATTTGGCGACGCCCGGGGAGCTCACGTTCAGCTGAGTGTCCACCATGACCCTTGCCTCTTTTTCAGTCCCTGCTTCCAGGAGAGAGTCCCCCGGGCTGTAAGCAGGGCTGGCGTTCCTTGGCCCTAGATGTGTGTCTTTACATTGGGCTGTATGAAAACACGTGCGGTTTGCTTGCGCCCAGGTTCCCAGAGACCCCCCCCCCCCTGCTCGCCAGTTCTCCAGGTCGCAGGTGTGTGCTAGGAGCAGTGTGCTGGCCAAGCACACCCCCTTGTGGCCCTGCAGGGACACTGTCCCCAGCTACCGCTTGGTTTATTCCCAGACCCACACACTGAGAACAAGTATCCCCCCCTTGGAGGCAAAACTCCTCTTTAGCCCCGCCAACCCAACCCTTCTCCCGGGGTGCTCATTCTGACAGGCCTCTCCTGGATCCAGGAGCCCTTCCGCCCTCCTTCTGGAGCTGGGTTACTAGCCAGCTCCTCCTTCAGCTGCCCCCCACTCCCGGCAGTCCGAAGCAGGACTCCGGCAGCATGTCTGCCCTCCTTGCCCCGCTCGGCTTGGTGGGCTGGGAGCAGTACACGGCTGTTAAAGGAACAAGAGCCTGCCTCCTCTCTCCAAGGACCTGCTTCTGGCTTTCCTGGGCCCTTGTGTACGTCCCAACTCCCCAAACCATACGGGGCCTGCCACGCAGCAGGGGCTGGCTGACCCCTCGTCCCTACCTGCCTGACGGGGACAGGCCGCCCGGGTGCAGGGCTCAGGCAGGAGGCCCCACTGAAAATCAAGCCGAATCTAGGGGGGATTTAAGCACCACTGCAGCCCAGGCCCACACTAGAACCTGGCAGCCGCTGTTCGGGGTGAGCTGACGAGATCAAAGCCCCAACAGGAAGCTTGTGAGCTGTAGCATTTCTGCTCCCAGGTGCCACCAGCCCTCCTGGGTGAAGGGGCAGCTCTGAGTTCTCTTGGGAGCTCAGGCCAGATGAGGAAGAGACAATGAAACACCAGACACGGGCAGTGGCTCCAGGCATCTCCAAACGGAGCCAATGACATACGCACCTTAACAATACAGTCAGGACCTAGAGGCCCCCCAGGAAAATGAGGGGATGCACTATCCCTACCATGTTTGCCCCCGTATCCACTGGAGAGCGGAGGGTGACACGGTGCCGCGATGACCTGGGGTGTGCGGGCGAGCTTTTCTAGGACGGGACTGGCACTGCAGCAGGGAATGCAGCCCTTACCTGTAGGAAGGGAGAATCCAGGAAATGGCACCTTACAATACACACAGCTTGGGCCTACGGTACCATGGGATTGGGGACGCTGGGGACGCAGACATACAGTCCCCAGTTCAGCTGTGAGCAGGATTTCATAAACATTAAGAGTTAGAAACATACATCAGGCCCAGCTGCGTCTCTTCACAGCTCAAGGTGTGGAAGGGGAGGTGTGCCACACCTGGATGGCTAGGGATACCTCTCATAGGAGGAGTAAGTGCAGGTGCGAAGCAAACAGGCTGCAAGGCCTGCTGACCATCCAGTGGATGAAGATCCAGGAGACAGTCCATTTCTATGGATTTGGGGTCACCTCCCTCAGGCCCTGCCTTCCTGGGCCCTTTCCCACCTCAGCAGCACGGAGCTCAGCTCATCCCTTGTGGCCAGTGAGTCATGCTGAGGGGATGTCCCGGTGTATCCACCTTTTCCTTCCACGCACCCCACATCCCACCCCAGGAGTTTGGTGCCCACACGCAGGGCAGGGCGCACCTGAGCATTAATACGAGCTCATCATAAGAGGGAGATTTTGGACCAGGTCCTGTAGGCGACAGTGAAACAACCAACATCCTCTCTGTATTTCCCGAGGGCAGGTGCTGCCCTCCCACATAGAGGCGGATTTACTGCATGGGGCAGCGCAGATTAACGGGAGGAGCTGCTGGGATAGATTAAAACATCACATAGGGATGGACACACTCAGCACTAGCAATAGACACTAGTCCAAGGGGCTCATTTCAACAGGCTTTAGTTCAGGCCTCGAGTGATCAGCGTAGGCGCGTGGAGAGAGAGGTCAGCATAGCAGGGCCCTTTCGGAAGGGAATCTACATTCACCGGGCAGCCTCCAGCTCTTAGCACAGTCACTAATGAAGCGAAACTGGGCGAGAGCCAGCCAGGGTAAGCAGAGAGCGAACCCCTCGGGCGTGAGGCCTGTAGCGTGGGCTCGGGGCAGCAGTGACAATGAGCTAAGGCTCGAGACTCTTCCCAGGGGCTGAGCGAACAGGAGAGGAAGCACAGCGCCCAGCAGGCCAGCACGAGCCCAGGGCCAGAGCACGACTAGCCCAGTGAGACAGGGGCCGAGCCAAGGCCGACCAAACCCATCTCTGCAGAGGGAGGAGACCAGGCTGCAGAGAACCCCACGAGTTTGCCCATCAGGCTCCAGTTCTCCAGGGCCCATCCCCCTGGTATCTAGGAAAGGCATTTCGGGGACTGAAACAAAGCCATGGGAGGCAATCAACGTGACCCCAACTGCTGAGCGTATGAGTGACGGGAGAGATTGTCACAAGCACCTAGGGGATTTAGGAGCGCAAATCGCATTGACTCTCACTGGGCTTCACCCGGGGCATTCGGGAGCTCGGTCCCATTGAAAGTCACTTGTGACAAATCTCACGGGGTGTGAATAAAGCTCACTCCAAAGCAGCGGAAAGTTCCAACCTTTTAACAGCCACGGGGGCTTCACTGGAGAATAAGCGAGAGCATAACGCCTCGTTTCTCCCTCTCAGCTCGGCTGTTATTGGCCAGGGGCCCGCACGGTGCGGGGAGCTGCACAGACCAGCCCCTGCCCTGCGGAGCGCTTACCGTATTACTGCCCGAAGCCAGTGGGACAGGCACTGGGGAGCCGGGGAACAGAGCCGCTCACTGGGCCAGGCCTTTGAGAGCAGGGGCTGACGCTGATCTCTCTGTTGCTTTAACAGGTGCCGGCTCCCTTTGCCCTTCCCAGCCACTAGACCCTGGCTGGTGCGATGGAGGAAGTGATGGAGCTGCGGACGGACGGGAATTCCCTGCTAAAGGCGGTGTGGCTAGGCAGACTCCGGCTGGCCAGACTCCTGCTGGAAGGCGGGGCCTACATTAACGAAAGCAACGAGAAGGGCGAGACCGCGCTCATGGTGGCCTGCCGCACTAAACACGTGGACCAGCAGAGCACAAGCAAAGCCCGGATGGTGAGGTACTTGCTGGATAACAGCGCTGACCCCAACATCCAGGACAAGTCCGGCAGAACAGCCCTGATGCACGCCTGCCTCAAAGGAGCCGGGGAAGAGGTCGTTTCTCTGCTGCTGGAGAACGGAGCCGACCCGAGCCTAGAAGATCACTCCGGAGCATCTGCTCTGGTTTACGCTGTCAACGCAGATGACAAGGATGTGCTAAAACATCTCCTGAAAGCCTGCAAAGCTAAGGGGAAGGAGGTGATCATTATAACTATGGACAAATCCTCGGCGGGTACCAAAGCTACCCAACAATACCTCCACGTCCCGCCATCGCCAGAGCTGGAGGAGAGGCAGGGCCCGGGCGTGTGCATGGCGCCTTCGGAGAGTGAACTCAAAGCGTCCACTTCAGGCTCTTCAGTGGCCGCGAAGGAAGAGCCCTTCTTCCGCTTCCACTCCGCGCACGCCAGCGGCGGCCAGCCGGCCAAGGCCCTTCCCGAGCCCTGGTCTCCCACCAGGAAACTCGGCAATCCCAGAAGAGCCCGTTTGCCACAGCTGAAGAGGCTGCAGTCAGAACCCTGGGGCTTGATTGCACCTTCTGTTCTAGCCTCCTCCGCCCATCCAGCCGAGGCCAAGGTGTGTGCCGGGGATGACATCACCCTGGGCATCAGTGACTTGTCGCTCTCCAGAAAGGTTTCCTTCCCCAGGAACGGCAGCGGTAAGAGCAAAGACCTGTCTCTCTTCCCTTTGGTGGATGACCAGGCGCTGAAGATCCCACCAACTTCTGTGCCAGGATCAAGGAAACCATCCTATGAAAAAGTTCAGCCCCTTCCTCAACGCGTAGCCAGGAGGAACGCGGTCCCAGCTGAGCCGGAGAACCCCAGCTCCGCCGGCTCGGGCTCCACACCCTTCAAAGACACCCTGCACCGGAGACGGCTGGGCACGGCGCATTACGATTCGGATTCACAGCTCTACTGCGACTCCAGCTCCGTTCTGGCTGATTCGGGGAAGGGGCCTTTGGAGAGAAACCAGCGCAACAGTTCCCATTCGGCTTTGTTCACCAGCTCCCGGGAATCCCTGGACAGCGCTCCCAGCACGTCTCCTGGGACGGTTCGCCGCAGGCCACCCAATCTGCTGGAAAGACGGGGATCTGGGACTCTCCTGCTCGATCACATTTCTCATACAAGACCAGGGCATTTGCCTCCTTTGAATGTAAACCCCAACCCGCCAATTCCCGACATCGGCTCTAACAGCAAACCGTCTTCCCCGCTCGCTGCGGGCTTCAAACCCATAGTACCCGCTGCGCCGAGTTCACCGAGAAGGGCTGACTGGCGAGCCAAAAAGAAGCTGCTTCGGAGACACTCCATGCAGGTTGAGCAGATGAAACAACTCTCCAATTTTGAGGAAATAGTGGCCCAGTAGTTTGTATTTCAGTGGATTTTCCAGAAACACGTGCAAAGTCCCTGCTCTCTCGTGCTCCGCACAGTGGGGTCCCTGTGCCTGGCACCCCCTGCTCCAGGAGGGGCAGAGCAGGGTCTGATTCCCACAGCCTTGCACCTTGGAGGGCTGGGCACCGGGGCCAAGCCAGGAGCATTTAACACTCCCGTTGCCCAGCTGTGGAGACAACACCAGGTACAACTGGGGAATCAGCACCAAGGGTTTCTCTGCTACTGCCCCCAGCTCTGGGCTTTGTTCCCAGGATGAATCTGGCGAAGTGTTGATTGTAGAGGAAGGTAGTGTGAGACACACGAGACTTCTCCCCAAGGAACATGAGCACCATTCCTTCAATCTCCAGTTCTTAGTCCTTAATCTCGTGTCTTTCCTACCCACGCGGAGACAGTCCTGGGATCGCCAGTGCCTGTGGGGCTGGTGGACGTCTCAAGTGCCTACAGAACCAGAGCGGAGCTCACTGCTGCCAGGAGGAGGAAGAGCCGAGTCCCCCCGACACCGGCCCTGAGCCGGAGAAGGGACACAATTCTCTCTGCTTCCCAGAAATTCCAGCACTTGAACAGGCCAGATAACGGAGCAGATCCGGTGCAACCAACGGGACTGCCTCGGGGAGGAGTTTGGCGCGGCACCGTCAGGCTGCCAGGCCATTCCATTGCTCGGTGGGACGCTCTGCTGTGGGCGCTGCGCTGCCGGGGGGTGGGGGCAGCGTTCCCCATCTCTAGCTCGTGGGAAGGGCGGGGGCCCAGGCCAGTGCTTAGCAGAGCAGGGCCCATGTATGGGGCCGAGGGCGCGTGGTGAATTCAGCCGCATGCTCCGCTCGGGGGAGGCGACTGGCTCTGTTCACATCCGTGAGGCTCAGAGGATTCCTACCCTGGGGCCATCTGACCCGCCCCCCCCCCCCCCACCAGCACACAGCCCCCCGCCGCTCTTCACACGAGAGGCTGTGGGGAGCCCCTCGCTGGGGTCCGCGGCCAGCTGCAGGGAGGCGAGTGAGGGGCTGCAGGGTCAGCTCCCGCCTGCCGCATCCGTGGTGACATAGGCAGCAATGTCACCCTCGGCTTCACTGCGGCTGCACCTGGGGCACAAAGGGGCCTCGAGCCAGTTCAACCCAGAACAGGGGGCTCCTCTGGTGACAGCACAGCAGCTCCTGATCTCCCCCAGCTGAGCCCCAGCTGCCACAACAGTCCCGTGGGGCCACTGGCAGGAGCACAAACTGGAGCAGCCTCCAGGCTGCTCTAACTCATGCAGCGGGACCAGCCTGTTCAAGGCCAGGCCAGGCCTGGGGGAGTGTAAAGATGCCTTGAAGCCAACGCCCCCACCCCTCTGAGCTGCACTGTGAATTCTTCACCTGCAGCCAAGGATCAGGGTGTTTTACCGACCTAGCTACTCCCATCCCCTCCCAGAGTGGGGGCTGGAGCTGGTGTCACACTGGTTTGGCAGTTACCTTCCCTGCCCCAGAAGCCAAGTCTGGGATCTTCCTAGGGGCAGCCCTTGCCCCCCAGCCCAAAAGCTGTGCTAGGAGGGGAGCAGGGACAGACCTGAGCTAGTGCAGAGCGGGGCTGGAGCTGCAGGGGGAGGGGCAGCCAGGGACAGCCCTACGAAAGGAGTGCCCCAGAGAGCTGTCCACGCGGCCTAGTCCTAGCCTTGACCTTGACCGTGGGTACAGAGCTGTGTATGTGGTAGAGTCCATGCCCCCGGCTGGGCCCCCATTCTGCTGCCAGCTCTGCACGGGCATCCCGTTACAGGATCGGGGCCGAAATACATACTAGACGGCAGCTGCCACGTCAGGACAGCAAGGCCGGGGACAGGTAACCCCATCTCAGCGCTCTGCATTCCCCAGCTCCCGGAAGTGTTTCTCCCCATCTGCTACTGGGGAGGATATGGGTGGCGAGTGGATTGGTTTGGCCTGTAGGTGCCGAAGCTGTTACTAACCTCAGCTAAACCCCACCCAACCAGCCCCTCCGCGGGAGAGGAAACCCAGCCCGAAATCTCATTCTAACCCTGGGCTCAATGGTTTGGATTGTTCATCTCCCGTAAACACGTGTCACGAGTGCAGAATGGCCACAGGCTTAGATACAGGAACTCCTCACTTCAAGTCCTCCCGGTTAACGTTGTGTCGTTGTTACGTTGCTGATCAGTTCGGGAACATGCTCGTTTAAAGTTGCGCAATGCTCCCTTCTAACATCGTTTGGCAGCCGCCTGCTTTGTCCACTGCTTGCAGGTAGGGCTATCATATGTCCGGATTTCCCCGGACGTGTCCGGCTTTTCAGTCTATAAACAGCCGTCCAGGGGGGATTTCTAAAAATCTAAAAATGTCCGGGATTTCCCCCTGGTCGACTATTTATAGACAGAAAAGCAGCGGCCAAGCGCCACTGGGCAGCCAAAGCCCCTTCCCGGCTCCCCGCATCCCCTGCAGCCTTAGCACGCCCCCGGCCCCGCAACTGTCTTCCCCTCCTCCCCTCCCCTTAGCTCCGCCCCCTGCTCCTCCCCCTCCCCTGCTTCCCGCCAATCAGAGCTACGCGGGAAGTGTGAAAAGAAGCAGAGGCAAGCGGGAGGCAGCAGGTAAGCTGGGGTGGGGGGCGCGAGGAGGAGAGCTCCGGGAAGGCGCAGCCCTGGCCGAGCGGCTCCCTCCGGCCTGGGCCGAGTGGCACCCAGCTGCTCCGGCCCAGCTCGGGCCCCAGCGGCAGCGGCCCCAGTTCCAGCCCCAGGGTGGCGACCCCGGTTCCGACTGAACGCGCCAGCCCGGCGCCGGCCGAGCACCCCCGGCCCGGCCCGGCTCGGGCCCCAGCAGCGCTGGCCCT